CAACCCACTAGATTTAGGGGTGCCAGGGTCAACCTCCCGGAAGACGAAGTCAAACAAATGATCATTGCCTTTCTTACAAATAATAGCATCAATGATAGACAACACGGATTAAGACGAGGCATTTCCTGTCTCGTTACTCCACAACTTCACAAGCTACGCAATTCTTTTAAGTGGGTTAAAATGGTACCAAATAGTGGGTGTCAAGGCGTATACAGTAACAAGACGTGACCGGCCGCCAAAGTGGCTAACAGCAGGTTTGATGATGAGGATAAGTAGTGGTGGAAGTACTTATGCCTCTGATAAGTTCTGGGCATAAATTCTGACGTGAATTCTTAAAACAACACACCGGTATGAGTTTATGACTATTAGTTCACCATTCTCGATACTGCCACGTTGTCTCAATTTTCAGGAGAGTTAAGTGACCGCTAACCTTTTACTTGTGAACAATACGTGGGATATGTTTGGTAAAATGTTGAATATTGGGCGTCATCTTTATTACTCTGATGCAACCTTAACCTATGTGTTGTTTTTTTATTGTAGAAATGCAAATCAGGTGTGGCAAAAAGTACAAATACTAGTTTGAACTAATGGTACACAAGCGCAGTCCGTAATAACGCCTAAAGTCGGAAACCACTGGACTAAACTATTAACTAACAGCAGACGAAACAAGTCAGCCACACTAACCTTAAGTATCTCATAAGTTTCTTCTCTAGTTATTAGATTAGTTTATCAAATTTGAGCTGATCGCTTCGTGTAATGTCAAAAATTATTTAACCCGTTGTCTCCGACCCAATCCTTCAGACAATTGTCATTCCAATCTAAACAAAAATTAATTAATATTTTTTCATTCATTAATAACACCGTTTTAAAGATGTGACCGTGAATGAAGTCATCATCATCATCATCATTCAATACCCGCTCTATGTCGGACAATAGTACAGTACCTTTTACTTGTATATGAATCAGTCAAGTGAATAATACTCGAATAGTGAAAATGATAAAATACAGACAATAATATCAATAGGAGACAGCATTCTACCTTACGGCCGCTGAGATACGAATGAGAAACATATATTATCTATAGAATTATTAACATACACAATGGTAGGACAAATGCGCCGGAATTATGGAATGAATTTTAGAAAACTTTCCATCACAATTTAACAGACAAGTAGAAGATACAGCATTATGACTTTAAGTTAATAATACTGAAAATTATGTTGTTTCAGATAAAAAGTGTTGGAATGTATGTTCTTATAATTAATAGGGTATTGTAGTGAGTATTGCCAAAGACACTAAATATGTGTGTGTGTGTGTGTGTAAGATTTAGTCTTAGAATGGCACAAAGTTACACAAATAAACTATATGACCTCACATTATCCACATATACACTGGCCAATATCACTAGTGTCAAAATACATAAAAAATAAAATAAAATCCACTGGAGCATTATAAAAACCTCTACCACTCGGCTTTATATGATAAAAATAAAATAAAATAATAATACTGCAATTCAGTAACAATACCGAACCAAAACACAAACTCTAATGCATCTATCTACCAGCCTGGGTTCGGATTCACAGGGATTCGAACCACGTAGACATACACTCAACTGATTAACTGACTATACATACATTTTTATCTAACTGATGGTAAGTAAACGTATCTAATTAAGGTAAAATCTTGGGTTAGTAGGTGGATTCTTATTTCTTATTATCAGTATTCGACATCTTCACGTCATAACAACATAACCTAGGCTCATATAATATCAGATAAATCTAGTTAATTACAGGGATCATACGCCAGAGTAATATCTATTCAGCTTGTCAAAACGGCCTCACTCGAACCTAATCTAACCTAACCAAAACTGAGCATGATAGCAGCCATGTTGACAGTCTGAGTGGGGCAGTTCTGGTTTGGGCTATTTTCTCCTGCTACTCAATTACAGTACCAGAACAATACTGTATATACTGTATACATAGCCTAGACTATATACTGTACTGTACATAAAATATTTACCTTGCCTAATCTATATATAACCAGGGCTATATTTTGTTCATCTATTCATTATCTATTAAGCCTAGGCTATATTCTATACAACAAACCAATGGCTATTTTGTCTAGGCTATATTCTATACAACAGGGGTGGCCAACCTTTTGTGTGATGTGATCTACTTTTTCCACAGTTACCCTGACGCTATCTACCAGCCTAATATTCATCCAGTGCTATAAAATACGCAGTTTCGTAGAGAGAGAGAGAGAGAGAGAGAGAGAGAGAGAGAGAGAGAGAGAGAGAGAGAGAGAGAGAGAGTAAACAAATAATATTTTTCAATAATTGTTATGATATATTGTTAACATGAGAAAATCATAAACTTACTTTACTAATGAGATGGTTAGCACTGCATGTTGTCTGCCAGCTTTGTGTAATTAGGACTGTAGGCGGTGACTGCTAGCCTCAAGCAAGCATCCAGGTGTTCATCTGACATTGTTGATCGGTATCTGGATTTGATGTGTTTCATGTGTGAAAATGTTGATTCACAAAGGTAGGTTGATCCAAAAAATGCTGTGAGGTACATGGCACATTTTCTGACATTGGGATATTTTTCTTCACTGAGAAGGTTCCAGAAACTTCCTCCTGTTGCCCTGGATTTGATCTGAATATCATTTTTAAGCTTCAGAAGCTCATTTTCGACTTCAGATATGTCCATGTTAAATACTGATGCCATTCTAGATGCAATATCTTCAACATTTGTGATTTTACCAAATGGAAAACACATATATGTTGCAACAGGTTCTATTGTTGCTATATCTTGAAACCGTCTGTCAAAATATGAGGCAAGGTTTTGTACCTGTTCAATATATCGAGCACTGTCAAACTGGTCACAGTCTTTTCCTTGGTTTTCTAGTTCAGACATCATATTTCTGAAGTTTCGTAGTTGAAGTTGATGCAGCTGCGAAGACACTAGTTTTAGTTTCTGCTTGAAAGCAGCCACAGGACTAATCATGTCAACTATAGTTTTATCTTTCCCTTGCAGATCTAAGTTTAGTTTATTCAACATAGCAGTCATGTCAACTAAAAAAGCTAAATGTAACTTGAGCCACACTTCGTTGTGATCAAGAGGCCAATTTTTTGAGGCCAAAAAAGAAGTTAGGAAACCTATCATCACTCCTGCACAGGGCAATGAACCCACTGAATCGGCCAGCCAATGCAGGTGCCCCATCAGTATTTTTAGATAAGAGCTTACTTACTGGCAACTGTGTACTATTAACAAAATCACTGAAAGTCTGAAATAAATCTTCATCCGAGTTTTTCCTTTTAATGGTAGAATTTTCGGCAGTTCCTCTTTGGTACTCATGTCTTTAAACACCATTCTCATGAAAATACATAATTGTGATGTATCGACCACATCAGTAGACTCATCAAATTGTAGTGTAAAGAACACTCACTCACGTATGTCTTTATTCAGTTGTTCACCCAAATCCTCCATCTTGAAATGTTTTTTTTTTTATGCTTTGTAAGTACTCGACTCACCCTGAATGATGCAATGGTTGCTACCCTTGATTTTGAGCTCGCTTCTGTAAAAAGAGTTTGTTGTGCAGTAAGCTGTGATTTCAGTTCATGAACTTTCCTCTTTCATAGCTCACTTTTGGGTGGGAAATCATTATCATACTTCTTGTGAAAACTTTTGAAATGCCTTTCAGGATTTTCTTTCTTAGCTAGAGCTGGAGACGCATGGCAGATCAAGCACAGACACTTCAAATTATTCATGGTAAAAAAATAGTCTTCTTCCCATTCATTGTGAAAATGGTAAATTTGGGTATTTTTAGTACTTGGTCCAGAACTCATTTTTGGTTCAGTTGAAGGCCAATTATATTTGGAAAAGATTAAGTCGTACGTGAATACGAGAATTACTTTTTCCATGACTTTTCCTACATGAATATGAGAATTACTAACGTAACAGCGTAACGTTCTTAACTTTTTTTTATAAGCAATTGTCATCGGCTAGTGTGGACACTTCTGTCTACTCTAGGGTTGCGGCGAGAACTGTCGCTAAGCTAAAAAGTCAGTAATTCTTGTAATCACCCAAGACTTTTCCATAACAAGAGGCAGCACCTCACACTTCCAAGTATTGCAGATGACTGAAAATCACTGCATTGTTGGTGACAAGTGTGTAGGCTCGCTGGGCAAGGCTGTCAAATATGATTCTCTCTCTCTTACTTTTGACAAGACTCCTCAATATCGAGTCGACTTTTTCATTACCAAATTCATTAATACAAGATTTAATGTGTATTTGTAAACTTATAAAAGCAAATACCTACTGTACCTAGTTTTAGCCTACAACTAATGACAACTTGCTGATCAGTTTCCTCACCCGCGAACACTTCAGGTTCCGCCACACACAGCATGGCACAGTCGAAGTTTTTTGTACGTATCGCTCTGATGTGTCCATAATGATAATCTATTCCCAGAAAAAAAGCTAAACAAATATAATATCCCAATGATTATGAGTAAAATTTGAAGAGGATTTTTGTATGGCAGCTTAAGAAGGATGGATCATTACGTTTAACTTTGCCACGCGATCGACTAGAGAAGATCTTGCAATCGACAGGTTGGCCACCCCTGGGCTATTTTGTCCAGGCTATATACTATTCTACAAACCAATGGCAGTATGCAGTATTCATTGAGTCTGTTGCATCGTACATAAACAGTATTCATTGAGTGTTGCATCATACATAAACAGTATTCATTGAGTGTTGCATCATACATAAACAGTATTCATTGAGTGTTGCATCATACATAAACAGTATTCATTGAGTGTTGCATCATACATAAACAGTATTCATTGAGTGTTGCATCATACATAAACAGTATTCATTGAGTGTTGCATCATACATAAACAGTATTCATTGAGTGTTGCATCATACATAAACAGTATTCATTGAGTGTTGCATCATACATAAACAGTATTCATTAATTCTGTTGCATCATACATAAACAGTATTCATTGAGTGTTGCATCATACATAAACAGTATTCATTAATTCTGTTGCATCGTACATAAACAGTATTCATTGAGTGTTGCATCATACATAAACAGTATTCATTGAGTGTTGCATCATACATAAACAGTATTCATTGAGTGTTGCATCATACATAAGCAGTAAACATCGATCCATTATCATACTACCAAACACTTACCCAGTATACTCACAGCTTGTATATATTAAACAATAACAATGTATATCTTACGAGCAGAGGAAGACAACAGCTTGACTCGTATGCAAGTTACAACAACGGAGAGTAACACACACACACACACACACACACACACACACACACACACACACTGATACGGACAGAGTTGGTAGTCGTAACCTCAACATGACGTCCGTTGTTTGGTTGGTTCTTGTTTATAAATACATGCACTGACTGGTTAAGTTAAAAATCGGTTAAGGTAAAAATGTTTAGATTTAAAAAAAAGGTCGATATTCTCGGTGGTCTTGATAAGTTTCCCTCAAAATTTATTACCGTTTGTTTACATTATCGTGTCCACATGAAGACCGAACGTCAGGTTAGTGTATGTGGTGTGTGTATGTTACGCAAAGCACACACTAATGAGTACTAACCAATCAGCGCATGTTAAGACCACAAACGCGTGGATACTAGTAAACTATAGAGGGAGAATATCTTGCTGGGTAAACAACATTTACTGCCGCTACATGACAGTAATAAAACTATTGACACGATATGTATGAATCACAACCTGTATTCTATGGTATATATTTATATTTTTTGTATAATTTAAGCTTTGTAATCAAGAAAGGGCTCACGGGCTGCGGGCGAACCATACAGTACACTCACACAACACAACTGGCAATAATCTAGAACTGACCACCACATGATCTGTTATTCATATCCTTGGTTCTTAATTCTTATCACATATACAGACACACGCAGTTGTTAGATCCCTTATCTTACCGACACAGTGTTGGGTGTGTGTACCCTGGTGGGCCTTCACATGGATTATATAAACATGACTGCCCGTTAGGGAGAGTGTGGTTAAAGCACACTGTATACTAAGCCTTTGGTACACAAGAGGGCAGTCGTGACCTGCATTGCACTGGACCATCGTCACTTCCCCAACCTCCTTTAATTGTTATGCGCCTTACAGACAATTTCTTAGCATGAAGGTCCCTTACATGGTCTCGAGGCAACGTATCAAACAGGTTGCTTGATCACAAAATTCTCATGGCACACATAATTTTCTTTTTATTTTCCCCAATTCAAGTTATTTTCGCAAGGGACGAAGATACTTGCAACCTCCATCAGGCTCCTACGATCGTTTAAATTATCTCAAAGTACACAATTATATGCTTGATCCCTAACACTCTCAGAATGGTGGTCCCTGAAACTTTCTATGGTAATTTGATCTCTATAAATCTTCGAAAGACACACATTAACTAGTACTTGGCCACTAAAATTCTGAACAGGTACAAAAAAAAATCAGTTTTACATTTTCTCATACAGTTCCTGAGGAGACATTAGGTTGATAGGTTGCTAGATCCACCATAAAGTCTAAATGTACATATATGTCTGTGTTGTCCCAGACGTCCTCAGAGCACAATATTTGTTCTTCTGGATCTCAACGTTTTCTTAAGCGTACTAGATCGTTAACTTAATATATACAGAATGTTACGGAATGCCGCCTTACAAAACACACATCAGTTGACGTGGAACTCGGAGTGTATCACAAGCGTGTGTACTCTAACTTCTGCTCCTCACTGTCTTCCTGATGGTGGTCTGTCTTAGTGGGGTGTTGGTCACCTTTGTTGTCGCCGGGGTGTAGCCAATGAGTGAACAGCCTCAGTGCCGAGTGTCTGGAATGCATTGTGGGTTGTGTCTCATCGCTACACTCAGGAATGCACCCATTACCACAGTGATGTTTGCTGTTGCCATTTGAGGTTTGAGTGTGATCTCGAGTTGGGTGGATGCCGTTGTGGGTGGCGTTATGGTTCTTGAAGATGGTACATAAGTCTGGACGAAACTTGTCAGTGGTTGATTTAATGCGACCGGGGACTGACTGACTCGTGTGGTGTGTACGTGTGAAAATGTTGGAGTGTTGGTTATGAGGCTGACTCGAGGTACATTCCACCCCTACAGGAGTCTTCATTACACATGTATTTACACCATTCTCCGGGAGGGAGGTTTTCCGGGTGTGTTTCCTTTGAAAGAGTGAATGCAATTTGTTCTGTAATCCGTCGTTTATTTTATTCTCATCGTGTCGGTGCATCTCGTGGGGGGGCTGAGGATTGTGCTTGGCATGAGGTTGATCGTCGTCGTCTAAGTAGCCCTGGTTGAGGTGGCCAGCTTCCAGAGTTTGTGGATGAACACCAAAGGTTATGACGTCTTCCTCAGTAGGGGAGTTGTCGGGGTGCTCCACAATGTGTCGCATCTCGTCCTCCATGTCCCCAACGGCGGTGGCATGATGCTCCTCCACTATGGACTCCACCATGTCCAGGAACATGTTGATGTTGGTCACAGAGCTCAGTCCAGCACACTTCTCCTTCTGCAACACGACCACAACTTATAATCTTGTTAAAGTGTACAGTACCGCAGGCCAGGTGAGTATCATCGCCCTACCTCCAACAAAACTATTAACACTATTATATCATCATTATAGTAACTAAAGACAAAGTAATAATTATTTTATTATACACAATTAACCTTATTCCATTCCCACCATAGAGAACAGGTATATTAGTCCTTATAACTGGGAGGCTGAACTTAAAATCCCACTCTATGATGAGGGACGAACAAATGAACCTGTAATACACCCCATAAAAATCTTCGTTTTAATGTCCACCAAATAAAGTTGTCCACCGCGGCTACACTGTACTATTTATTGATCTCTCTAACACGTGTCTTGATATCACAATTCTACCACCACAAGGGAGAACAGATCCACTAGGCCTTGATGGGAGTGACTTGTGGATAATTACACAGTCCTTCACTCCAACTCCACCACGGAAACGGTTATAAACATGAGATACTTTTATTCTGGTTGTTTAAGTCAGTATCGCTGCCTGCCCCCCCCCCTCCCCTCCCTCCTAGTACCCCATAACTCCAGCAGGAAAGTGAGAATCTCGTCCCTTCCCTCACCACCTCATGATACAACGAGAGACAAGGACCATTTACCGTGATATAACCTGATGCCCCACACCACACGGCTCACACACACACACACACACACACACACACACACACACACACACTGTCACACATCACGTCTTCAGGTTATGAGTCAATAAGATTTGGATAGATTTGGTTAAATAAAGTCGGGAAAAGGGAACGGGGAGCTACACTCTTGAGGTAATCTGAACAACTTTGGGGTCGTGAAACTTTTATTGAGGGCTGCCTTCACTCAGTGTAGCCAGATAGACACATTACGGTCTATATATGAGAGAGAGAGAGAGAGAGAGAGAGAGAGAGAGAGAGAGAGAGAGAGAGATACACACCTCGCCGACAGATGGCAGATTAGACTCAGAGGAAGAACGCGACATATCAAAACGTGAGTGTAAGGAAGAGGTCTTGGATGGCAGCTGTAGGTCATGGGGGCGGTTGATTTCATGCTGCTTCTTCACCACCTCTTCCTTCTCCATCATCTCTCCCTTATTCACCTCCCCTTCTATACTTCTGCGGTGGACTCGACTCTCTGCCGTCATTACCTAAAAGGAAAAAAATAAATGAAATAAATACAATGAATAAGATAAAAACACTAAAAATTTCCCTTAAAATCGATTCATATTAAAAAGACAAATAAATAAACAAAAAGGTGAAGGATAAAAGTCCGTCATATGAAGTTTTACCAAGAAGATTTTGTTATACTTTCACACACACACACACACACACACACACACACACACACACACACACACACACTCACCGTTCTGAAGCGCTTGAGATCCCGGTGTATATTAGCGTTCAACTTATTAGAGTGTTTCTTGAGCGCTATAGCCAGTCTCCTCTCCACCGCGTGTACCTGCCCGAATCACAAACTAATTAGCACCACCACAACACACACAGGTGAGATAACAACAGGTATAATGCATAACAGTAAATGAGATATAGATTTTTCATTTATTTTATACATGTGAGATGATAATTCTTTTGTTATTATTGTTGATTCACTTTCATAGTTTGGTTATATCTCTCTCCCTCTCTCTCTCTCTCTCTCTCTCTCTCTCTCTCTCTCTCCCTCTCTCTCACCCGCTTGCTCTTGAGGGCCTCTTGGATGAAGGTGATGAGCATAACGATGTAGCCAAGGCCGAAAATGATCCATATTACCATCAGTATTTTGTAGAGCCAGACCCACACCTCCTCCCTCTCCTGTAGACCTGTAGGAGAGACAGACATACAGTACATTCTATTTTCCCTACATGTTTGATACACGTTATGATGGTTTGTGACGTGTTCTTATGGCCACAGACACGGTTGGTACTTGTTCTTATGGCCACAGACACGGTTGGTACTTGTTCTTATGGCCACAGACACGGCTGGTACTTGTTCTTATGGCCACAGACACGGTTGGTACTTGTTCTTATGGCCACACTCATGTTTGATACACGTTATGATGGTTTGTGACGTGTTCTTATGGCCACAGACACGGTTGGTACTTGTTCTTATGGCCACAGACACGGTTGGTACTTGTTCTTATGGCCACAGACACGGTTGGTACTTGTTCTTATGGCCACAGACACGGTTGGTACTTGTTCTTATGGCCACAGACACGGTTGGTACTTGTTCTTATGGCCACAAGAGTAATTAAAGTTAAGTTTGGTTTAATGGAGCTGAAATTAACTTAGAGTCAAGTTAAGTTTTTTTATTAAGTTAGAATCAAAATATTAAGTTATGACTGAAATTAGTTAAGCAAGGTTTTATAAGGTAATATGCAATAGTGTATGGTGTAAGGTGTAGTGTAGTGTATGGTGTATTAGTGTAGTGTATGGTGTAGTGTAGTGTGTGGCGTAGTTTAGTGTATGGTGTAGTGTAGTGTATGGTGTAGTGAAGTGTATGGTGTAGTGTAGTGTGTGGCGTAGTTTAGTGTATGGTGTAGTGTAGTGTGTGGTGTAGTGAAGTGTATGGTGTAGTGTAGTGTGTGGGGTAGTTTAGAGTATGGTATAGTGTAGTGTATGGAGTAGTGTAGTGTAGTGTGTGACGTAGTTTAGTGTATGGTGTAGTGTAGTGTATGGTGTAGTGTAGTGTATGGTGTATTAGTGTAGTGTGTGGCGTAGTGTAGTGTATGGTGTAGTGTAGTGTATGGTGTAGTGTATGGTGTAGTGTAGTGTATGGTGTGTAGTGTATGGTAGTGTAGTGTAAGTGGTAGTGTGTAGTGTATGGTGTAGTGTAGTGTAGTGTGTGGCGTAGTTTAGTGTATGGTGTAGTGTAGTGTATGGTGTAGGTAGTAAGTGGTGTATTAGTGTAGTGTGGCGTAGTGTAGTGTATGGTGTAGTGTATGGTGTATGGTGTAGTGTATGGTGTAATAGTGTAGTGTGTGGTGTAGTGTAGTGTATGGTAGTGTAGTGTATGGTGTAGTGTAGTGTATGGTAGTGTAGTGTATGGTGTAGTGTAGTGTATGGTGTAGTGTAGTGTATGGTGTAGTGTAGTGTGTGTGGCGAAGTAGTGTATATGGTGTAGTGTAGTGTATGGTGTAGTGTAGTGTATGGTGTATTAGTGTAGTGTGTGGCGTAGTGTAGTGTATGGTAGTGTATGGTATGGTGTAGTGTATGGTGGTATTAGTGTAGTGTGTGTATGTAGTGTAGTGTAGTGTAGTGTATGGTGTAGTGTAGTGAAGTGTAACAGTGTAATTTAGGCATAATGTGTGGTAATACCGTGACCACAGTACAGAGACAGACAGACAGACAGACAGACAGACAGACATGACAATAACAGACAGACAGACAGACAGACAGACATGACAATAGCAGACAGACAGACAGACAGACAGACAGACAGACAGACAGTACTGACCTTAACATGATCCTTACAGCAGTGTGTGTGAGGAGAATAAAATTACTGTTAACTTAATCAATATACTGTACTTAACACTCCCTCCCTCCCCTCTACCCTCCCTCCCTCCCTCCCTATACCCTCCCTCCCTCCCTCCCTCCCTCCCTCCCTTATCCCTTACTACCCTCCCTTATACGCTCCCTCCCTCACCCTTTCCTAACCTCAACCCCTCTCCAGCCTCATAACGCATAGGTTTGGTTAGGTTTGGTTAGGTTAGGTTAGGTTAGGTTTGGTTAGGTTAGGTTAGGTTAGGTTAGGTTAGGTTTGGTTAGGTTAGGTTAGGTTAGGTATCCTAATGAAACCTATACCTAGCCAAGCCAAGCCTAACCTAACCTAACCAAACCTACATTATACATTCCACCACCACCACAACAACAACAACCACCTCACCTCACAACAACAACAAATTTCCACAACCACCACCACCAACACAACAACTACCACCACCACAACAACCACCACCACCACCACACCACAACACCACCACCACAACAACTACCACCACCAACACAACAACTACACCACACCACAACAATCACCACCACCACCACCACAACCACCACCACCACAACAATCACCACCACCAACACAACAAGTACCACCACCACAACAACCACCACCACCACCAACACAACAACTACCACCACCACAACAACCACCACCACACCAACACAACAACCACCACCACCACAACAACCACCACCACCACAACCACCACCCACCACAACAATCACCACCACCAACACAACAACTACCACCACCACAACCACACACCACCACCACCACATCACCACCACCACAACAACCACCACCACCAACACAACAACTAACACCACCACAACAACCACCACCACCACCACCACCACAACAACCACCACCACACACAACCACACAACAACCACAACCACCACAACAACAACCACCACCACAACAACAACCACCACCACAACAACAACCACCACCACAACAACAACCACCACCACAACCACCACCACCAACACAACAACTACCACCACCACCACCAACCACCACCACCACAACCACCACCACCACAACAATCACCACCACCACAACAACCACCACCACCACACAACCACCACCACCACCACAACCACCATCACGCAACTCACCAGCAACGTGATCACCAAAACCAATAGTAGTCAGGGTGATAAATGAAAAGTAGAAGGCGTCGAGGTAGGTCCAACCATCCTCCACCAGGGTAAACACTGCGGCAGGAAGCACCAGAAAGATCACCATCCCGGGAACCAAGTACAAGAGAGCATCAACAGCCACCCCGACCCACGAGGTGTAACGCTCGGCTCGCTTCCGTACTTGGGAGTTCACCACCTGCAGATAAAGGGGTTTGTTTACTAGTTTACCTGTAGGGGTTGTTTGTTTACCTGTAGGGGTTGTTTACTAGTTTACCTGTAGGGGTAGTTTACTAGTTTACCTGTGCCGTAGAAAGTAAAATTAGTTCGCCAGAAATGTTTACACGGTGCGTCTCATCAGAACAGCAATGACGTCAGAGAGAGAGAGAGAGAGAGAGAGAGAGAGAGAGAGAGTCTGATATGACACAAAAGAGAATAGGGAGAAACAATGACGTCAGATATAGAACAGACAGACAGAGACAGACAAGCAATATTCAGTGGTGTCAGGCACCCAAAATATATAAACACAACGCAGGAGATCTCGTTCCCTGTGAAAGAGATAAAAACATAACCCAGCGAGATCGAAAATCAGTAAACTTCGCGTGTAGTGTTATGGAGGGCGTTACTTAAAGTGTTTTTCTTCGCTAACTGCCTCTCACTCCAACCCCACTAACTGCCTCTCACCTCCCCCCTCCAAGCCCCTGAGGAGGTATTGGAGGCGTGAAGGACAACTGGGACAACTGAAGTTTTTTTTTATGTGCTGGATCTTGCAAGTTTAATGTAATAATAATAATAATAAATGGTTTATTAATAGAGTTGCAGCCGGTGGCTGAAAATATACAAACTACATTTGATTTAGACATAATGATATAATATGCGTTGAATACATTTACAGGGCTGTACAGTACATAAATCAGTTGTTTATTATTTTAACAATAGACGGGATGGTGCTGTTCTTATATCTATCGGTGCGGGCTCTTGTGGGCTGAATTTTTTTGTAGTGGCGGACTGCGTGAGGTGGGCGTGGGACTGCCGGTGGCAGGAGAGACGCAGTTGTTGCTAGCACGAGAGTATTCTGCGCCAAGGATGATTCTGCAGGCCCTTTTCTGTACCTTCTCTAGCTGACGTTGTTGGGTGGAGTTGAGAGACGACGACCAGGCTGGTGACGCATACATTAGTTTGGGGAGAATAAAGGCGTTGTAGATAGTCCTCAGCTCTGGCGTGGGTGCCCCAAGTGACCCGAGTCGTCGTACCATGTAGAGTATGTACGAGGCTGCCTTGATTGTGTTGTTTCCATGGGCCTTCCAGTCCAGTTTGTGGTCTATGATAACACCCAGGAGTTTGGCAGACTGCACCAGCTGGAGAGGATGGGCACCCACTGTGACTGCTGGAGCTTGTACTGGAGTGGTGGCAATATTGATGTGCATGACTACGGTTTTGGTGTGGTTGATGGTGACCTTGTTCTCCGTAGTCCATGCCTGTAGCCTGTCCAGGGTGTCTTGTAGCGATGAGTAGTCCGGTGAGGTGTTGTCCACTGTAACCCCCACAGTGCAGTCATCCACGTACTTCCACCTGTGAGAAGTGTCCGATAGAGCGTCATTGATCAGGATCAGGAAGCACAGTGGTCCCATCTTGGTCCCTTGGGGAACACCGCAGGTGAGGTGTTGGAATGTGGAGACAGAACCCTGGTACCTCACTGCCTGACGACACTCACTCAGGCAATCAGTGAGCCATGAGACCAGGTTGGTGGGCAGCCCCAGTGCAATGGCCTTGTTGATAACAGTGCAGTGATCAACAAGGTCAAAAGTCTTCCTGAAGTCAACAAGGGCAACGGCCAGTGATGTCTTACGTTTCTGCAGGTTTTTGTGCAGAAAATCCAGGAAACTAACTAAGCAGTGTGATGTAGAGGAGGTCCTCATATTGCCAAATTGCTGTGGATCAATTAATTGATAAATTCTAGCAAATGGCCACTCAAAAACAAAGTCTTCACAGAGTAGACTGGGTATGGGGGTAATGGCAACTGGCCTGAGGTCGTTAGGGGACTGTGGGGTGGTGACCTTGGGGATAGGGGTGACAAATGCGGTTTTCCATTCATTAGGGCATTTGCTTTGTCTGAGGGATGCATTAATAATAGAACAGAGGGGGGTGGCAAGTTCGACTGCAAACTCCTTGTAAATTTTGATTGGAGGTCAATTGGGGTCGTGGAACATTTGGATTTAAATTTCAGGAGTTTGTTGGCGATTTCAAATGATTGAACACTGGGAAGGTAAGTAAGCCGGGAGGAGAGTGAGGTCAAGACTGGGTAGGGTATGACATATGGTAGCACAGTGGTTATTAATTATCTCAGCTGCCTCCTCACTAGGTAAATGTGAGATGAAAGGAAGTGTGGGAGACTGACGGTTAAAACCACAGAGATCTTTAATCTTGGAGTACCACTGACCGATGCCGACTTCCTTGAGGCCGTGCACTTTCCTGGGATAATAAGACTTCTTGGCTGACTTGATTTCCCTGATGACCTGGTTACGTAGACTTTTGTACAGGCGGTTGTTGGTGTAGTATGCCTTGTTGAGCTGCTCAATTAGTCTTTTGATACTGGGTGTAATCCACGGGACATCATCCGGGGTGGATCCTCAGTGTCTTGGCTGGAAAGAAGTGGTGGTAGGCTTTGGTGATAGTGTCCAGGTAATTATCCCACTTGTTCTGCACATCGTCTCCCATGATCACTTCAGCCCAGGGATACCGGGTCACCCAGTGTCCGAAACGCCGCATGGCAGAGTCAGGGGTAGGTCGGTTAGTCCTGGTGACAACTGGCGGTCGTGAGATGGTAGGTGTAGGTGACCACAGTAGGGACAGGTGGGGGCTGCGTCCCATGGGAGGCAGCGGCAGGGGGGAAGGTAGTGGTTACCGAGATCAGTCATGATGAGGTCCAGGGTGGCATTGCCATGTGTGGGAAAGTTTACTATTTGTGTAAGGTGGAGGTGTTGGGTGATGTTACTGATGTCTAACTCATTAAAGTCACCGCATATCGCTAGTTTAGCACATGGAAATCTGGATCTCAGGGAGTCAGCAGTGTCTATTATATGAGTAATCAGTACATTGGCGGTCGGTGCGCGGGGGGGGCGGGGGGGGGGTGTGATAACAAACACAAACAATGAGGGAGGCGAGCTGGTGGGGGTGGGAGTGACCTGAACCCACAAAGCTTCTACATCCTCAGGTGTGTGTGTGTGTAGCAGAGGGACGGCGCATAGGCCCACTGACATGTGGACACATCCTGGCGCCTACCAACCATTGCCCCGCTGCCTTGCAGATTAACCTTGGTAGGTATAAGGCTACGGAAGTAAACCCCGAACGAAAAATCTGCAGTGGAGCTCCTCATCAGGCAGACATGCTTACAGAGCTCCAACAAGACCCCCAACGGCGGTATAGGAGGAAGAGGTGACCACCATGGGAACCAATGACTACACTGGCAGACGAAGGCAATGCCTGATGGACAGGCTACTAAGGCGAAACCCAACAAACTGGGTTATCGGCAGTCCATTACAACTCTCCCTCTCCCTAGTCGTTGCAACACTTGCACCACTGGATCAGGAAAAGAGAGAGCCGAGATGTGTGGTTGCAGCCTGCGCTCCTGCCTCACCACATAAATCAACTCATGTACAGCCATCACCCAGCTCATCATACCTCTCATCATCATCAAAACCCCTATACCCCGAAAAGTCCTTTGGCGACGGACGAGTGGCGACGGGAACAGGCAGAGATGACTGCCGGGAGTCTCTAGTCACAACTCTGCACATGGGCGGCACAGATAAGATGGTCGTATATGCACTGGAATCTAGGCAGCAGTGCAATCCGGTCCTGTCTGTGCGACTGAGCAGCCCTTTCGAGTAGCCACTCTGCTCACCCCACATGGGGAGGGGGCTAGAAAAGGTGCCCTAAACATAGCCTGCCTAAAAAAACAACCTGACTGGGCAACCGCACCCAATAAGGTCATCCTTATGTAGTCGAAAACACAACCAAAATCACAGATCCAAACAAAAACAAACCGTACAACCTCTTATGGTCGCTGCATGGAATGTAAGTACCTTTCTGGATACTGGCACAAATGAGCATCCTGAAAGAAGAACTGTCCTTGTGGCAAAAGAGCTGGCTAGGTATAACATCGACATAGCAGCCATTAGTGAGTCCTGGCTCCCAGATGAGGGCCAACTCACAGAACAGGAGTCTGGCTATACCTTCTTCTGGAAGGGTAAGCCTGCTGAGGAGAGAAACACATTTATGGAGTTGGCTTTGCCATCCGCCAACGCATCCTACACAGGCTAACTGAAACGCCCATTGGGATCAACACGCGCCTCATGATGCTCAGAGTCCCACTAAATTCACCTCAACAGTTACTATTTACAACACTTGGTATCCTGTTATATTATAGAGAAAGTAACTTGTGGAGAAAGTAGTTAGAGAAAGTAGCTTATATTATAGAGAAAGTAACATACCTATAATTATCAGCTTCTATACTGGTTTCCACTATAAGAACAAAGAAAAAATTGAGTGGGTGAAGAAAATCCTTACTGTTTGATATTGTTAACACAGAGCCACGTGTGGCTTTTGCGGCATTCACCCATGGAGTCAAGCATCGCTGGAACTACCTGATGCACACTATCCCTGATGTCGGACCCCTCCTCCACCCTCTGGAAGAAGCCATTAGCGTTAACTTTATTCCAAAATTAGTGAAACACCTTCACTTAACCCCAGCAGAAAGGTCACTCCTTGCACTACCACCGAGACTGGGAGGAATGAGATTGACCAATCCAGAGGAGCTTGCTGCCACTCAGTCAAGCTCACGGCAGCCCTCACTCAACACATAAGAGCTCAGAATGCAACAAGTGAGGTGGATACCAGCGAATTAAACAAGATTCGACGGTCCATTACGACAGAACGACAGCACACCCAAAGCGATAAACTGTAGCAACTGATGCTGCAAGTGCCAGAGAACTTGCAGAAAAAAGGTAGCTATAGTGCAGGAGGTGGGCGCCTCGAACTGGCTAACAACGTTACCGATAAGGGCAAAAGGTTTCAGTCTTATTAAACAAGAATTTACAGATGCCATTGCTCTAAGGTACGGTAGGCCAGTAGAAGGTTTGTCCTCCCAATGCGTGTGTGGCTCTTCCTATGACATCGACCACGCCATGGTGTTCAAGAAAT